CCGCTCCCAGGCAGTGGCATAGTGTGGGTTGCCAGTGCCCAGGGCCACATGGAAGGGGGGTGGGAGGGAGGGAAGTAGAAGGAATATGCATGCACATTCAATTGCCTAACAGCATCCACGTCACCCAGGAGACCGCAGCCGCAGAGATAAGAAAAGAAGAGTCGTTCCATTGTCTGCAGAGGTCACTTCCTGATTCACATGGAGAAGCTGTTTTCCAATGGAGTCCAGCGACAGAATCGCACAGCTGGATTGAGGCAGTATCAGGTGTTGAAATTTTGTGCCCCTAACAATTTTGCTCTCCAGGCAGCTTCCCCCCATGCCCCTGCATGCTACGCCACTGCTCCCAGTTACCAGGGATATAGATACTCTACCATATAGGCATTGGGGGTGTACTGCAATTTCAGCAAGGATTGCTGTGGATCTACTTCAGATAAGTGAGGATAAGTACACTATGTTGTTTTCTATTTTATGTAAGTGTGATCACAGAAAATATCCAAACAAGCAGGGTTACTTGTGGGGGGGGGATCAGCTTGGGATCATGATTATGAGCACTCTGGATGAAGAAACTGATCCTTACAAGAGAGTGTTATCCTGTCCTGAACAGGCTGAATACGGTGTTTGTGTGTGTTTGATTTAAATTGTATGTTATAAAGAGACAGGGCAGAAGTATTGTGCCACATTACTTTACATTGTTTAATTCAGTTCTCTGAATGGAGACATCTGATGTTATGGTCTACTAAACACAGAGATAATATGCTAGATCCTTTGAATCATAGCATCGAAGTTTAAAGGAGGCCTCATGCGACTACACAATGACGTGTTGCTTCCAACTGTGCCTCTCTGCAAAAGGAAGGCATCCTTCTGTTCACAGAAGATTTGATTTAGTGGAGGCCCTTGCCAATAGAAGAGGAAGGGAGGCAATGGTTGCCAATTCCCCTTTCCCACTGAAGCACCCTCCTCCCTAGGCCACCTTCTATTCTGCTCCGGAGATCCCTAACATGGCAACAGGTTGTCAGGGGGTGCAGGGAGCTGTCAAGGCAAGAGGGAATCAGCTCAAAACCCCTTCCCTCCTCTTCCATTAGTACTCAGTCGAAAGCCCTTCCATGAACAGAAGGGCACAACAGGATCCAACCCTGTTTATGGATTTAAGATATTTACTTTCTGCCCAGCAATAGACATCTAAGGGAGCAGACAATAAATGAAAATGCATGCATAGCCAGGTACACGCTTAAGTCCATTACATACATTGAATGAACCAACTCTATAACTGTAATGCATCTTTTATACTTTCAGCCCTATTAAATATTGCCTATATCAAATATGGTCCGTGGCAATTTCGAAGAAATACTATTACTGCACTTGTTGTTGTTGTTTAGTCATTCAGTTGTGTCCAAGTCTTTGTGACTCCATGGACCAGAGCATGCCAGGCACTCCTGTCTTCCACTGCCTCCCACAGTTTGGTCAAACTCATGCTGGTAGCTTTGAGAACACTGTCCAGCCATCTCGTCCTCTGTTGTCCCCTTCTCCTTGTGCCCTCAATCTTTCCCAACATCAGGGTCTTTTCCAGGGAGTCTTCTCTTCTCATGAGGTGGCCAAAGTATTGGAGCCTCAGCTTCACGATCTGTCCTTCCAGTGAGCACTCAGGGCTGATTTCCTTAAGAATGAATAAGTTTGATCTTCTTGCAGTCCATGGGACTCTCAAGAGTCTCCTCCAGCACCATAATTCAAAAGCATTAATTGTTCAGCGATCAGCCTTCTTTATGGTCCAGCTCTCACTTCCATACATCACTACTGGGAAAACCATAGTTTTATGGACCTTTGTCGGCAAGGTGGTGTCTCTGCTTTTTAAGATGCTGTCTAGGTTTATTATCGCTTTTCTCCTAAGAAGCAGGAGGTGTCTTTTAATTTCGAGATGTGAAAGGCATACATGGATAGAAATCAGAAGAATATTCGGAGCCTGACATCTAGTGGCGAGAAAAGGAATACCACTGCTTTTATGGACCATTTCCCCCTCTAAATTCCACACATTAAAAGGAAGGAGTGCTGCGGAGTTTGTCACGTATTTCTTTTCTTTTCGAGCTCACTGGAGAACTATAAGAATGTAAAAAGAGTGCTCCTTATATGGTAAGAACAAAATATGTGCTACAGATTGACTGGAGTAATGGAAATAACTTCTACTGGATCTTAAGCCAATTACTCTAAACCTTGAATGCATTTCAAAAGACCATCCACGTGGGCAGTACATCAGGTGATCCGAAATGGTTACTTAAGAGTAGGAGGGGGAATTCTGTTTCATCCCAAGGGCCACATTCTGTTCTGGGGGCCACATGCCAGTGGTGGGAAGGGCGAGAGGCAAACATGGGTAGAACAGTAAATGTAAATGTTATCTTTGTTCAACAGGCTGGTTTACAAACCAGAGAGACAGAGAGAGACAGAGAGAGACAAAGAGACAGACAGAGAGGGACTATCCTTCCAGCCAGGCAAGCAAGAAGCATTATCAGAATCCAGGGTGAGGTGTAGGTAGGTTCCCCCAAGGCAAGACACAACGACAACAGCAAGAACCTTTATTGAACTACCCAACTGGTAAACAGGGGCAAAGCAACTGCTTATATACATTCCTGAAGGCCTGGGCCACTCCCAACATGACTGGCTGCCTAAGCTTCTAAGCTGCGAAACACAACTCAGAGTTCAAGGGCCAATGGCAGAGGCTGAAATCCTGAAATGTTCTATGATTGGACAGAATGTATCGAATCAGAACACAGAATCCTTAGTCCAGGCTCACACTCAGGCAAACACAGACCACTGAATACATACCACTGAATACATAACACAGGGACACATTCCAGCCACGCCAAAACACTCATGGATGCATCAAGGCAGAGTTGACAGGGCATACGGCCTTGAAGAGAGGAAGGGTGTGACTATGAAGGAGACATGGCCTGCAGAGCATCCCAAAAGGCCAGGCAGAGAGGCTTGGAGGGCTGCATTTGGCCCCTGGGCCTGCAATTCAACATCCCTGCTTTAAAAAGAAAGATGTCCACCTCAAGCCACGGACTTAGTGACACTAAAAATCCAGTCATACAGCCATCGCTTTAAATCACTGAACTGTGTGTCATATAATAGCAGGTGATGTAATTGGTATGATTAGCAAGCATATTCATAATGGCAGGAAAGTGCTGCATCAGCACCATCCAGCTGCTCCATAGACGGAAACTGCAAAGGTGTTTTGTCCACTTAAAAGTGTGCCAAAGACAGAGCCACTTAACACGACAGAAAGGGAAGTACTCAAATGGTGGCAATCTTCATTGGGAGTAATTCCCATTACAAACACAACGGGACATTTCCAAGTAAAGATCGATAGGACTGGGCTGCCCGTTCCTATTTTATGATGAGCAACTGATCACCATCCCCATTTAATTCACACTTGGCTCAGCAAACTGTAGTCTTTCTCAGGGCACCTTGCAGCTGTACAAAGGACTCAGGCATCCTGGAAAATTCTTTGAGGACACAATGTGTGAGGAGGGTATCATGCTATGATAATTATTATGTCAGGACAAGCATTTCAGCTTGCCAGGCGCAATGATCCCCCCCATCCTCTCTCCATGTGCTGCTCTGGAGGGTCTCCAGACACACACCCCTAAACCAATTTTGGGGAAGTAGGGAGCGTGGGGGGAGGAGGGTGGGAGAAGCCCAATTGCACAAGCAGAAGTCCTTGGGCAAGCTGCTGCTAACAGGACTAATTAGTGCCTTCCAAGTGCACAATTCTGTATGACAATTACTGTATTATTATTATTATTATTATTATTATTATTATTAACAACCACCCTTCATCATTATTTTATACAGCAGGATTTATATATCAGTTAACAGAAAACCACCACCACCAAAAACCTTAAAGTGGTTTACACAAAAGAATATAAAAGATTCCTGATAAAATAAACAGACTTCAGTGACAAGCAGACATACCAAAATAAACTCGTCAGTTTTTAAAGTGATGCACAGGTCTGGAGCTTCCGGGTTAGCGCCTCCGGCAATGGCGGATTTCCTCTGACCAGGAGGAATCTGCTTCGTGAGTATTAGGGTCTGGACCGCCGCGGCGAGGCGGAGACCCATTAAAAACCACAGGCGGAAGAAGCCTGTGGACGTGGGATTCGGCTGGCACCTCTTGCGCCTCCCCTACTTGCGGGGAAACCCGGTTTCGGGGATCCGGAGTGACGTGGGGTGAATGGCGCGGTGCTTTGAATCGACTGCTTTTTTCACGGAGTGAAGCCACATTGCTGTTGCCGGAGAGCGCTGACTTTTTCCTGTGGACAATTGGATTTTAAACAACTACTCGTGAGTAAATCGGAAAATTGGATTTTTAAATACTTTAATTTGGCACTGATGCGGGAGGTCATAAACAGGAAGTCCGCCTTCCGTTTTTGTAAATAGACTGAAGCAAAGACGTTACAAGTTAAAGTCTTTGAAAGCTTTTGGCAAAGGATTAAATTTCCATCGGTTTAAAATACAAAACCCCCCTTGGAAGCAGGAGAAGAGGGGGAAATCTTGGATCTAGTGAGCCTGCAGGAGAGAGTGAAAAATCAAATTACCACTGCTCTGAACCTGGGAACGGGCTGCCAGATGACGTTTGGAGAGAGTGCATTTGACAGAACGGATTTGACAGCTAGAGAAATAAGAGTAAGATACTGTTTCCATTGTCCTTCTCTGCGTTTAAAAAAGAGGAAAAGTAACTGAAATTTTATCTTTAATGTTTGAGTTGTGCTTGAAAGAACTGATACAAGTGGAGACTGTTTCCCTCTAGAGGGAGCTTTTGAAACTGTAACAGGACTGTAACTGGGGGATTTCCAGCTGCAGATAAGGATTCTGAGAACCAGAGAGCGACCTTGGACCATTTAAAAATGTTGACAGGAGAGGCCATTGCGACTGTTTTATGTAAGATAAGCTGTTCGCTCGGACAGCTTCACAAGAAGATGGATGACATGACTTTTAAAGTTGACAATTTGGAACAGAAAGTGACTAATTTGAGTCAAAAAGCGAACATCAACACAGAAATAATTCAGGACTTGGTACAGGAATCCATTTTGGCAGGACAAATGGTGGAGGAGAAGGAGGAGAAGGAGAATGCTGCTGTTGTTGAACATAAAGTTGAACATCAAGTAGTACAAGAGAGATCCGTGGCTTTACAGAAGCAAATTGAGGACTATAAGTTGAGGCCTTTTATGATTGAATCTAGGAAAAGTCAGATTCTGAGGAATAAACCCCGGCTTGGACGAAAGAAGGAAAGTTGGAAAGATCCCTCTATGCAAGGATTAACTGACTTTTGGGACATGGACTCGGGCCTGGAGGAGATTGAAGTTTTGGGGGCCTTTGGACTTGGAGGAATCTTGAAATATGCTCTGAAATACTTTATGGACTGTAGCTTTAACTATGGAAATTTGGCTGATTTGTTCAGAAGGAAGAAAAGGATTGACAGGTTGGAGTTTCCCCGAGATTTGCTCTTTAGCATTAAAGAAAATGAAGAAGACCTGCAGAAGGGACTTGGAAAAGAGTTAAGAGCCTCGGACATAAGATCACCAGGTTGATGGACTTTATGGAGTTGACAGAAAGGACTGGCAGAATCCGAAACCAGGGAGAGGAGATGGTGGAAGAAGATTGGAAAATTTAAAGTTTATATATAGACTTATGGTAAAACTAATGAGTGATAGAAAAATGGTGGAATGATTTTTTATGGGCTTAGCAGAAATGTTATAAGGAGTTAAGTATATATAAGTATTTTATTCTTAATGGAAAATAAGGTTAAAAAATACGTTATTTACAATATGATAGAAAATGGAGAAAGATGGAAAGGATTTGCTGAAACAATTAAAAGAAGTGGAATACAAAAAGGGAGGTGAGAGGAGGTTGAGGAAACAAGGGAATGAAAGATAGAGTACGGAAAAAGAGATGATGTATGTTTTTAAATTGTTTTTGTTTTGTTTCATTTAGGGTTAAGGTTAGGGAGTGGGGTTTGTTTAGTTTAGTTTAATGTGTTTAGTTTTGAGTTTAGGTTGTGTTCTGCATTGTTTATATATTGTATTGTATTGTTTTTTCCTTTTTTCTTTTCTTTTTTGTCTTTTTTCTGTTTCTCTTTTCTCTTTTCGTAATCTATAAAAGTAATAAATATTATTTTTTTAAAAAAAAATGATGCACAGGTCTGCCTGGGCTTCCATAAATGGAAAAGTTCATAGAAGGCCTCGGAAACAGTACAAAGAAGGGGCTTGTCTAATATGAAGAGGCGAGAAGTTTCAGAAAATAGGTGCTGCCACACTTAAAAGTTTGGTTGCTCACAGGTGTGGAGCCAACATGTGTATGGCAATGTTGTCATGGATCTCTCCTCTTGGACACACACACTACAGAGAGCCTCTCAGACTAGTTTAAGTCATGAGAGCAGCTGATGTTGATCTGGCAGTGGTGAAAAAAGGAGTTAAATTTAATTATGTTCAAATTTCCAAAGCAACCTTAAGCCTCCTGTAGCACCAGTGAAGGGGGTAGGAATCTCACTCCTCTGACCACAGAGTATCTGCAGTCCTGAAGAGGATAAAGTATTTTCCTCACCACCACTATCCTTCTTAATAACACTGGGCATGAGTGCAATTTCAACTAATTATGTGCTTATCCAACTTTATCACCGCAGGGAAGCCAACATTCGGTGCACATAAAAAATACTGGCTTTTGCCACTTTGGAATACACCTCTCTGCCACATTTTTTTAAAAAAGATGCTGCTTGCCAGTGGAAAACTAGGCCATCAGTTAGAAGGTTTTTAACTTAGTCTTCTCCCTGAGGCATTTGTTTCCTACCTGCAGGAATTTTGCTCAGGAGAGCATTCAAATGTTTTGAAGAAAAGTGGTGCCAGAGAAAGTACCGTAAGCCAGTTCAAGACCACAGTGCATCACCTGAGTTTTGCCATTCCTAACTGCTAGCCTATTTGTAATCTAGGTCAGAATACAATGTGGTGGTCAAAGGAATGCTGGACAATAATCTTTGTAACATCTTAACCTGATTTGTGTGTTGTTTTACTACAGTGAATGTTGGGCATTTGACTCAATGAGTATTTATAAGTCAAACTTGCACCTAGAGACGAGGGATGCCTGCTAGAGAAAATCCCTAGATCAAAAGACAGAATACAGTGGTACCTCGGGTTACATACGCTTCAGGTTACATACGCTTCAGGTTACAGACTCCACTAACCCAGAAATATTACCTCGGGTTAAGAACTTTGCTTCAGGATGAGAACAGAAATCATGCAGCTGTGGCAGCAGGAGGCCCCATTAGCTAAAGTGGTGCTTCAGATTAAGAACAGTTTCAGGTTAAGAACAGACCTCCAGAATGAATTAAGTTCTTAACCTGAAGTACCACAGTAATACCACAAGGAAATGTCTAGTTTGTTAGGACTGTTTTTAATTTGGCATGGTTTATCTTTTTTATGAAACTTGCCTTCATTTTTTTTTAAATGATATTTATTAAGATTTCAAAAAGAAGAATTACATAAGTAAAGAAAAGAAGAAAAAACAAACAAACAAAAACAAAAGACAAAAGTAAAAATACAAGAAAAATACAAAATACAAAATACAGAAAAAGAAAGAAT